AAACAAAAAACACGGAATTCCCAGCTGTGTTGCTTGCCTTCTCTTTGTTCTGTGCTCTCTAGCCAGTGTCTGCAGGGACAAGGTGAGTGGAGCCTGGGACTGTCCCACACCAGGCCTAGGTGCACAGAGGCCTTTCAGGGTTGGGAAGCAGTAGAAGGTGAGAGAATAGAATTGAGAGGAATGACGGGGAGTCATCTCCCCTCCCCTCAACATCTGCTTTTTGCTTTGAAGGTTAGTTTTAAGGGGAAGAAGAGTTATCTGGAGAGTTATCTGGATCACACCACTGCTGTTTGTTTTGGCTTATTTCACATTTTCCCCAAGCCCTTCTCCTCCAGCCCCTGTTCTCCACCTCTGGTCTCCATCTGAAGAGGGAATGGGGCTCTTATTTGTGGTTGGCCCCAGCTGCCTGGTCCAGTCGCAGAGGGTGGCCCTGTGCAGACATGGGGAGCAGAAATGCAGAGAAGTCTCCTTAGCAAGGTAGGCGGGGCTCAGATCCTCATTCCAGGGGAACTTGGCCCCCCCAGCTGAGCAGGGGGAGGTCAGAATACTTTTCCTGGGACCCCTGGATTTCTGCTGTGGATTTCTAAGGCAGACGATCTGATTGAACCCAGTGGAACAGGACAGCTTCCCCAGCCTGGAGGCAAATGCTTTAAATCCACCTTTCCCTTCAGGTGGTGGTAGGGCTGCTGGGGGCAGGAAGTGATCTGTGCTTGGTTATGTTTGGAGTTCTTGGCTGGTACAAATGGTTAACACACTCAGCTGCTGATCAAAAGTCTGGAGGTTCAAGGCCACCCAGAGAGGGCACTTCAGAAGAGAGGTCTAGTAGTTCTACTCTTGAAAGACCGGTCATGGAGAACCTTGTGGAGAATGGTTCTGCTCTGACTCACACGAGGTCGCCCAGCCACAGCAATGGGTTGATTGTTAGTGGTTATAGCTATGGTGAAACCTAGACTACTGTTGGGAGCTCTGGTAGCTTAGTGCCTAAGACACTTGACTGCTAACCAGAAGGCTGGCAGTTCAAACCCACCAGCCACTCCTCGGAAGGAAGGTTGGGCAATCTACTTCCATAGTGATACTGCCTCAGAAACCCAAGGAGGGGTCACTATGAGTTGGATCTGACTCAGCAGCACATAACAACAACAACAGACTACCATTAAACCGAAATACCAAACTCACTGCCATCAACTCGGATCCGACTCATAGTGACCCCTCCTTGGGTTTCTGAGGCAGTATCAGTATGGAAGTAGATTGCCCAACCTTCCTTCTGAGGAGACTACTGTTAGGCCTGAGGGAAATAGACAGAAGAATTTTCCAGGTTTCTGAGGGTTTAGTCACTTAAATATTTCAGTTTTTATTTTTCTAAAGTTTAATAATTTGGATAGAAATTTTCTGTCTAATGCTGGATGCTGGAAAATTTTAACTCTCTCCCCTATTTTGATGTCCCCAAATCATTATCATCAGCATAATTCTTGTTTTGTGTTATACAATGTCAAAGTCTTCAGAGGCTACCGATGGGTGTGGGACTATCTGCCATGCACCAAAGGTTCCCACATTTCCTAAATTCTTTTTTTTTTTTCTGTTTTCTCCCTGCCATTTTATACTTCTTGCCACTGTCCACATGCATTCCTTCTTTTTTCTTTAAGTCTTGTTGATTTCATTTTTTTCTGTGGCCATACATCCCAGGCCCCCTGGAGGAATACCATTGTGAGCCAACCATCAGGCTCTTCACGCGATGATTCTCCCATTGACTCATGAGGAAGTACCCAGACTTAAAGTGTGCGGACACCACGACAGCTACTGAGCATGTTCAGAGGATGCTCATTTTCCTCTGCTTCCTCATTCTTGGTGGGGTTCTGCATTGCAGAGGTAGCAGATAATGGATGCAGTCTTCATCTTCCTCCTCATCAAATAACCAGTGTGGATATAGAATTTCCTTGCACCACGTTACACTTTAATAACTTTATCTATAATATACTCTATGAAATAGGAGCTATCATCATCCATAATTTATAGCTAAGAAAACAGCCACAGAGATTTTGTGTACAGGGGAATCACTGTTCATATAGAAAATAGCAGAGCTGGAATTTTATCTGAGTATGCCTGCTGTCTGGGAGCTCTGGTGGCATAGTGCCTAAGGCACTTGACTGCTAACCAGAAGGCTGGCGGTTCAAACCCACCAGCCACTCCTTGGAAGAAGGATTGGGCAATCTATTTCCATAGTGATACTGCCTCGGAAACCCAAGGCGGGGTCGCTATGAGTCGGAGACGACTTGATGGCACGTAACAACAAAAGCAACATGCCTGCTGTCTTAGGGTTCTCTGGAGAAACAGAGCCAGGGAGCAATCTAGCTATGTGGAGATTTATTTCAAGGAATTGGCTTATGTGATTGTGGGTGTGGCAGGTCCAAAATCTGTAGGACAGGTGCCAGGCTGTAGATATCTGCAGGTTTGTGTCCCAAGAACCGTGGGTCAGGTGATGTAAAGAGTGCAGAGTGGAAAGGGAGTTTTGCCAACATATCTATTTATAGCCTGGAGGCAGAAAACTGCCCAAGGAAACTTCCTTTTCAACTGATTCATGGATTCTGCTAGATTATGTAATACAAGACCCTTGTATTTCATTTCATTGCATTGCATTGCATTACAGAACAACAGCTAAACACATTTGACCAAACCACTAGGAACCATTGCCTAGCCAATTTGACACATAAAACTAACCATGACACCCTCTTAGCCAGTGCTAACTAATCTGGAGATAATATGTTCTAAAGGGATGCTGCTGTAGCTAGTGAGAACCAGCTACAGAGCATTAGAACCCAACAGGAGGGGTGGGATGGGAGCAAACCTTTATTGAGCACCCCCATTTGCTACTGATCAGGTTGGTGTTTGTCACCTGCAGTCTGCTAGGCTGTGTGCTCTGTGAGAGTAGGTCCTGCTAAAACACCAGCACCCCATGCATACGTGGTACAGAAGAGGTGCCCCTTTTCTTAGCTGGTGAGTGAGTGAGCACTAGCTCACAATGACCTGGAGGTGGGCATCACAGCCCCCATTTTACAGGCACAGGCTGGCAGCAGGTAGCTCTTTCCACCATAAAACACTGCTACAGAAAGTGGCCTTTGAGCCCACCATGCTGGCTCTGAAATCTGAAGGGCCAGACAAATATGAGGTCCCTCACCTCAAACCCTTGTGTAGAAGTGTTTTAAGAGCCATTCAGTTGTGTTTTGGGGACTGTTACGTTTTTGAAGGTGAATCGAAGGGGAAGACAACGTGTACAAGATTTGTTTAAAAACACCCCCTCTGCACTCAGCCAGGTCTTGTTGGGACCTGCAGGGAGCTACTCTGGGTGCTATGGTCTGGGGCTCTGTTTGTTCTGCTGTGTCTTCAAAGGGCTGAGGCCAAGCTGTGATTCCCTGTCCTTCTAGCACTTGCTGGGACTTGTCTCTTCGGTCACTCCTGGTACTGACAACTCCACTAAATAATTGGGCACCTCGCACCTTCCCCTCATTGGACATGCCTAAGCCAGAGTGAGACCAGGATAGCTGGGGGCTGCTTCAGGGTCTCCACCCAGGCTGTGCACACAATAGTCTTTTCCTTGTGTTGACTACTTGTGGTTTAAAAAAGACTAAAGAGACTTAAAGGGACTCTGGTGGTGTAGTGTGTAAGGCAGCTGACTGCTAAGCAGAAGGTTGGTGGTTCAAACCCAATAGCTGCTCTGTGAAAGGAAGATGAAACAATCTACTTCTGTAAAGATCTACAGCCTTGGGAACCCAATGGGGGTCGCTATGAGTTGGGATCAACTTGGTGTCAGCGAGAAAAGAGACTTAGGAGTCCGTCACCTCAAACCCTTGTGTAGAAATATTTTAAGAGCCATTTGGTTATGTTTTGGGGACTGTTTCTGAAGGTGAATTAAGGGAAGATAACCTGTCCCTTGGGTGGTGCAAACTGTTACCATGATTGGCTGCTAATCCAAAGGTTGGAGGTTTGAGTCCACCAAGAGGTACCTAGGAAGAATAGCCTGGTGATCTACTGAGAACTCGGCCATGAAACCTTACGGAGCACAGTTCTGCTGACACACATGGCGCCGCCATGAGTTGGCACCAACTTGATGGCAAGTGGCTTAAAGAGATTTCATAGCTGTTCCGTGGACCAGCATTTGAGCCCCTGAAATAGTGTCTGAAACTACAAAGTTGAGGAAGCCACAATATCTGTTCTTGGGGTGCTCAGTGTAATGAGGAGGCACACAAACAGATAGAAACAAGTAGAATCCATGGAGATATGCTATAGCAGCTGTGGGAGCAAAGCACTGTGGGTTTACTCTGAGGCTGGGCAGGTTGGCAAGTGAAGGTCGAGGGAGCAATGGAGCAGGGCATGCTGGGAGCTGGGGAATCTGGGTGACATGGCTCCGCTTTCTCTCTCCCTGCCAGACATGCATGGCTTAGTGATGTTTGTAGCATGCATCTTATCTGCACCCTTTCAGACCATAAATAATGAAGAATTTAAACTGGGGGTTAGTGATGGGAGACTCTGAGATCTTCAAGAGAAGAATGGTGGACCTCAGAATGGACTAAGTCCCATTTCTGATTAAGGACCCAGGAGACGCTTTCATCCTTCTGTGCTCCTCTGCTCCGCCATGTCATCCTCAGATGAGGTGGGATAGAGTGGACATTGGAGCCATTCTTCTGAAGTCGATAGGCTGGGTTGCAATCCTGGACTCCTCAGTTAGCAGATTTGTGATCTTAGTCAAGCAACTGACCTCTGTGAACATCAATATCTCTTATTGGTAAAAATTTGGGGGAGGGTGCTAATAGCATCCATCTAAGAGTTATTGTGAAATTTGAAATAGATCATCCATGTCAATGGCTCAGCACAGGTGCTGACATGTAGTAAGTGTTCACTAGCACTAGTCACCTTCATCCTTGTCATCCTTAGGGGTCCAGAGAGCACGGAGGGCCCATCCCTCTAGAAAGTGAGGCCTGGAGCTCTTCTTCCCTTCCTCTCTACAGACAATGGTGATGACCACTCTGAGGGGAGCCTGGTTGAGAACCACGTGGACGGGACCACAAACATGCTGGTCGTTGGAGGCACTGCTGGCCGGAAGCCCCTCAAGTCGGGCATGAAGGAGTTGGCTGTGTTCCGGGAGAAGGTGACTGAGCAGCACCGGCAAATGGGCAAAGGTGGCAAGCATCACCTTGGCCTGGAGGAGCCCAAGAAGCTGCGGCCACCACCTGCCAGGGTCAGTGGGGTAGCAAGGTGGGAGGAGTCGGGAGAACATGGAAAGTGAGGCTCCCAGCTGGGGAGGGCATTTCAATAAGATCTATGCCCTGTGCTATCTCTAGTCAAGGCACTTTCATTTCTGGCTCTGCCACTAACATATTCCATGACATTTGGGTCAGTCAGTTAGCTTTTGGGGCCTCAGTATCTCTGGCTGTGAAATGGGCTAGGCCAGTGGTTGCATAGAGCTTCTTCCTTCTGAAAACGCCGTTTCTGTTTTGTTCTGGACTCTAGACCAAGAAAATGGACCCAGAGATGAAGATAGGCTCATTAAACTTGCTCACTGTTACTGTGATTAATTCCCCACACTGGGCTACTACCCCCCTTCTTTTTCCCAGCTCCTCTCTGCTGTCTTGGGTCTTGGCCCTAGCTGGGTTTATGGAAGGAAAGAGAGGGCTGGGATCTAGATCTTGGAGACAGAACAACTTGAACTCAGTATTTGCAAGTAAATCCCATCTGAGCTCTCTCAAAGTCTTTGCCACAGAGGAAGGAGGGGAAGAAAACTCCAATCCCTCCACCTTCTAGGGGGTGGTGCAGGGCACAGCACTTTGATAGTGCAGTCACTGGGCAGGGTGGCAGAAGTGCTGCTATGGCCAACTATTCCATGATCCCTGGAGTAGTCCCTTCGCAGGGATGAGAGTCATCTTGAGATTGCTCTCAGGGCCAGTGTTCGGCAGCCCATATTCTCACTCTGATCACTCTTATGTCGCCCACAGACCCCTTGCCAGCAGGAGCTGGACCAGGTCCTGGAGCGGATCTCCACCATGCGCCTGCCCGATGAGCGGGGCCCACTGGAGCACCTCTACTCCTTGCACATCCCCAACTGTAATAAACACGGCCTGTACAACCTCAAACAGGCAAGTGGTCTAAGCCTGGGTTGGTGGGTGTTGTTTCCTCCTCACCCACATAGTCTTCTGAAGTTTGACAGCTGAGTAGGAGATAAGACTTCTGCAGCCATGGAGGTGCAAGCTGCCTGGTGGGGAATGCTGGGGCTTGCTCCCTGGCCTAGATAGGTCAGAGGCCGACTCCACTTACCTAGCTACCTGTCAGCCACCCTTGGTGTTGGGGTTGGGAGGGAGCCTGTTGGAGGAAAGTGGGTTCAAACCAAAGCTTCTGAAATTTGGTGGAGCAGTAGTCACATGGAGGAGATTCCTGGACCTCACTCCCAGAGATTTCAAGAATCAGTAGGTCTGGGGTTGGATGGACGTTTTGCATTTACAGCAAGGTCCCAGGGGATGCTGACGGTGCTGGTCCATGGACTGACCACACTTTGCGAATCACTGGTTTAAACCACTCGCTGATTGAATAGCTGCTCTGGTTTTCAAGTATCTCAGGGAATGGAGAAATAGGGATGGAGAGACGCCATTTAAATATTTGTAAAACTGGTAATTTTTACATTATAAACACACTCAAGGGCAATTAAGAAAGTATAAGTAAACCATCGTCTTCCCCCAACCCATTTTTTTTCTTTTAATGTTATGTACATTTTATTTCAAGAGAGACAGAAGACAAACAGTAGAAAGATGCCCAGATGCCCTAAAGATAAATACATTTCAAAGATTCTCATTAAAATGAATCTGAATCTGTAGCATTTTTTTCCTGCAAGCAAAATACCTTTCTTTAAAAAAAAAAAAAAAAAATCAGTACTCTGAATTGCAAATGCTTTTTTTTTATTGCAGAAAATCTGCCATGATTACTTTTTTAATGAATGAGGATTTTCCACAAAACAGGCTTGCTCTACATGCTAATTTTTTAAACAGTTCAGTGACACAATGTGCTAACTACATACACAACAGCTAATATAGTCTGTCCATATGTATTTTAATGATCACTGTGCATGTGCAGTATTTTCCTTGTAGCCTTCCATCAACAACTTTTCACACAGCTACATAGAGTTTGTAGTGATTAGTGGCTGTTTCATATTGATTAGATGTCCTTTTACTTAGCTGACCCCTCTCCCCCACCTCCTTTCTATAAACCAAAAAAAAAAAAAAAAAAAAACCCAAACCCACTGCCATGAAGTCTATTCTGACGCATGGTGACCCCCATTGGGTTTCTGGGGCTGTAAATCTTTACAGAAGTAGATTGCCCCAATCTTCCTTCCACAGAGTGGCTGGTGAGTGTGAACCTCTGACCTTCTGGTTAGCCTATGCCACTAGGGCACCTTCCTCCTTTCTATAGGGAGAAATATAAATGCATTTCATTTAAGGCAGACTGAAGTGATGAAGAGGTTAAGTAGTATGAGCCTCACCTGTCACTCTGTTTTGAAGGAGAGATTCAACCCCGGATGCACATTGGGAACTCCGTGAGATCTTCAAAGAATGATACCAGAAAAATTACAGCCTAGGAAACACTACGGGGCAGTTCTATTCTGTCACATGTATCCCTATAAATTGGAATTGATTTGACAGCACCTAGCAACAATGGGTGGTCCTACAGGCTGTCAGCGTTGACTAAGAGTGAATGCCTGGAACAAGGAGATGGAGTCTGGACTCTGCTCATCCTTCGTGGATCTTACTTGCCTACCTCCTCTCACAATGCAGTCATCTTGTCCCTCTAGTTAGTAGTCTCAGGAGCCATGTTGGTGTAAAGATTAAGTGCTTAGCTGTTAACCAAAGTGGTTGGGGTTTCGAACCCACTCAATGACTCCTGAAAAGAAAGACCTGGTGATCTGCTCCCGTACAGATCACAGCGTAGGAAATGCTATGGGCAGTTCTGCTCTCTCACATGGAATTGCTGTGAGTCAAAATCAACAAGTTATTAATCTAGTGTTAAACAAGCGATTTGGGCATACACGTGCCCTCGTAAATGTGTGTCCTGTCAGTGCAAGCCGGCTGTCTCATACTGAACGCAAGTGAAGACACTGATCTCTTCTAATGAGAAAGGTGCTTGTCTGTTGTGCCTTGTGGGCCATTAAAGGGATTTACAAGAGTTAGGTCCAGAGCATGGATCCTGGATCTGGAACGCTGAGGGCTGCGTTTGAGTCATGCCTCTTACTAGCTTTGTGATCATGGGCAAGTTACCTAACCAACCTGTGCTTCAGTTTCAACATCTGTAAGGTGGGGACAATTATGGTGCTGAATTTACCAAGTGGTTGTGAGGATTAAGTGAATTTACAGTGAAACCTGTAACAACTGGATTTTGACAGAACTTCCTAGTTCTTCCCTAGGTCTCGAAAGATTTCTGCCTTTGACAGGGTGTGGTTTTACCACTTGTCTATCACTATTAGTGGAAAATATTTGAATGTTCCTTCTCTGACAGGTTTCCCTTTCCAGAGGTTCCGGCTCTGGCAGGTTTTACTGTACATGTTAGGTGTAAAGGATAAGCAAGCATTGTATGTATTTCTAACACAGGGTAGTAAGGACTGTGCTAGTGCTGGCCTGTATTATTAAATGCATTTTCACCTTCCGCTCTGAACTCCAGGAAGACGTGTAATGGGTCCCCACCAGAGGGAACCACCCCGAGTGGAAGGGATGTTGTTGTTGTTGTTGTTATGTGCCGTCGAGTCGGCCCCGAGTGGAAGGGAAGCCGGGAAGCCGAGTCTTAATCTCCTGGCTAATCAATAGTCTTGCTAATCAGAGACTGGTCTGCCCCCAGCAGCATCAGCATCACATTGGAGCTTGTTAGCAATGCAGAATTTGGGGCTGGCCGATTTGAATGGGAATCTGCATTTTAAAAGATTCCCATTGGAGAAGACCCACCCTGTTGTGCTAGCTGTGAGAGCTCAGTTGCTGCCCCACCTCTGTCTGTGCCAATGAAGAAAGGCAAACCGGGGCAGGACAGCTTTCACTTTTTGCTCTTGTCTCTCCCTAGTGCAAGATGTCTCTGAACGGACAGCGGGGAGAGTGCTGGTGTGTGAACCCCAACACCGGGAAGCTGATCCAGGGGGCCCCCACCATCCGGGGGGACCCTGAGTGCCATCTCTTCTACAACGAGCAGCAGGAGGCTCGCGGGCCCAATGCTCAGCGGATGCAATAACCCCCAGCCAGCCGGTGCCTGGCACCCTCTGCCCCCCAACACTGGCTGGAAAGGAGAGTGCCGGGTGGTGGGTGGGGAGGATCTTCCAGGAGTTTTGACATGTGTATTTATATTTGGAGAGAGACCAGCACCGAGCTCGGCACACCCCACTGCCCCCCCCAGCTGGAGATAGCCACACCCTCCCCTCACGACTTCCGCCGGCCAGGAATGGGGGTGGTGGCTATGGGGGAGCTGGGGTAAAGGTTTGGGAGGGGTCGGGAAAGAAATTTTTATTTTTGAACCCCTGTGTCTCTTTTGCTTAAGATTAAAATAAGGAAAAATAAAGCATGTGTCTTTTGCATGAGTTTGGGGCATCCCTCCCTCTCCCCCCAATTGCTCAGCTATTTCATGTCTGAAAGAGATTAGAGGCTGCAGAGTGTCTGTCCCCCCAACTTTGGCTCCGACCCTGTGAAATGGGAAGGGCACACCCTTCCTGGGCCTAGGTTCCTAGTCAGAAGATGAGGAAAAGGGATAGGCAGGAGGAAGAGGGGACTCTTCCCTGGAGTGTGTTCCCTGTGGAAATGCAAGTTCTGAATCTGCATCAGACCTCCAGGTGCTGGATCTAAGGCCCAGGATGGGCCACTGGGGAGGGAAGGAAATAGGCTAAGAATGTATTCCTCTCCCAACTCTAGGGAAGAAGGGGAAAGTGAGACCAATGGAATCTAGGTTCTCTGGCCCCTGAAATAAAGGGGAGCTCTCTCTCCCAGCAGAAGCCATTTCAACTGTTCCAAGGGAAGGGGCCATTGTTGTTCACAAAGGTGTTAAAAAATTCAGATGCAAGTGGTAACTAGTGTTAAAAGTGATGCAGACTCAAATAAATTGAAAGGTAAGGTTTACTCTGAGCAATTCTATATGCATATAGGGTGACCATTCTGATTCGGGGGGAAAAAAAAGCAAAGGTCTCCAAGTAGGCTGAGTAAACAAACCAATAAACAAAAAACAAACTCATTGCCCTAGAGTGGGATCCGACTCACAGCGACCCCTCCTTGGGTTTCTGAGGCAGTATCACTATGGAAGTGTTGTTAAATGCCATCGAATTGTCTCCAACTCATAGCGACCCTATGCACAGAACAAAACTCCTCCTGGTCCTGAGCCAGTTTCATGATTCCTGCTACACTCGAGCCCATCGCCGCCGCCACGGTTCAGTCCACCTTGTTAAGGGCCATCCCCTCTTCATTGATGCTCCACCCTACCCAGCATGACATCCTTCTGCAGGGAATGGTCCCTTCTAACAACATGACAAAGGATGTGAGACGAAGTCTGGCCATTCTCACTTCCAAGGAGCATTCTGGCTGCACTTCCTCCAGGACATACCTGTTAGTTCTTTTAGCAGTCCACGGTATTTTCATCATTCTTCACCAACACTACAGCTCAAAAGCACCAACTCTTCTTCAGTCTTCCTTATTCATTGTCCAGCTCTCACATGCATATGAGGTGATCGAAAATACCATGGCTTGTGTCAGGCGCACCTTAGTCCTCAAGGAGACATCTTTGCTCTTCAGCATTTGAAAAAGGTCCTTTGCAGCCAATTTGCCCAGTGGTTCAAACCCAACAGCCACTCCTCAGAAGGAAGTTTGGGCAATCTACTTCCATAGTGATAACTGCCTTGGAAACCCAAGGAGGGGTCACTATGAGTTGGGTCTGACTCAATGATACATAACAACAACAACATACATCATCTGATGTCCTGACTGCTGCTTCCATTGGCATAGATGCAGAACCAAGCAATGTGAAGTCTTTGACAATTTCAATCTTTTCTCCATTTATCATATTGCTGCTTATAGGTCCAGTTGTGAGGATTTTTGTTCTCTTTATATTGAGATATAATCTATACTGTAGACTGTATTCTTCAATCTTCATCAGTAAGTACTTCAAGTCATCCTCACTTTCAGCAAGCAAAGTTGTGTCATCACCATATTGCAGGTTGTTAATGATTCTTTCTCCAATCAGGATGCCACATTCTTCATATAGTCCAGCTTCTCGGATTATTTGTTAAGCATACAGATTGAATTAAGTATAGTGAAAGGATACAACCCTGACTCACTCGCTTCTTGATTTTAAACCATGCAGTGTTCCCTTTTTCTGTTTGAACGACAGCCTCCTGGTCTATATACGTTCCTCATGAACACAATTAAGTGTTCTGGAATACCCATTCTTCTCAATGTTATCCACAATTTGTCATGATCCACACAATCAAATAGTTTTGCATAGTCAATAAAATGCAAGTAAACATCTTTCTGGCATTCTTTGCTTTGAGCCAAAATTGATCTGACATCAGCAATGATATCCCTCGTTCCATGTCCTCTTCTGAATCCAGACTGCACTTCTGGAATTTCTCTATCAATACACTGCTGTAACTGTATTTGAATCATCTTCAGTAAGATTTTACTAGGCACTCTGGTAGCATAGTGCTTATGGCACTTGACCGCTAACCAGAAGGTTGGCGGTTCAAATCCACCAGCCACTCCTTGAAGGAAGGTTGGACAATCTACTTCTGTAGTGATACTGCCTCAGCAACCAGGAGGGGTCACTATGAGTTGGGTCTGATTTGACGGCACTTAACAACAACAACAACAAGATTTTACTTGCATGCTATATTAATGATATTGTTTAATAATTTCCACATTCTGTGAGATCACCTTTCTTTGGAATGGGTACAAATATAGATCTCTTCCAGTCAGGTACCTGTCTTCCAGATCTCTTGGTGTAACCTAGTGAGTGCCTCCAGCAGGTCATCCATATGTTGAAATATCTCAGTGGGTATTCCGTCAATTCCTGGAGCCTTGTTCCTCACCAATTCCCTCAGTGGAGCTTCAACCTCTTCCCTCATTACCATTGGTTCTTGAACATATGCCACCTCCTGAAATGGATGAAGATCTACCAGTTCTTTTTGATCCAGTGACTCTGTGTATTCCTTCTATCTTCTTTTGATGCTTCCTGCATCATTCAATATTTTGCCCATAGAATCTTTCAATATTGCAACTCAAGGCTTAAATTTTTTCCTCAGTTCTTTCAGCTTGAGAAATGCTGAGTGTGTTCTTCCCTTTTGGTTTTCTAACTCCAGGTCTTTGCACATTTCATTATAGTAATTGGCTTTGTCTGCTTGAGCTACTCTTTGAAATCTTCCATTCAGCTGTTTTATCTTGTCATTTCTTCCATTTGCTTTAGCTGCTCTTCACTCAAGGGCAAGTTTCAGAGTCTCTTCTGACATCCATTTTGGTCTTCTCTTTCTTTCTCGTATTTTTAATGACCTCTTGCTTTCTTCACGGATGATGCCCTTGATGTCATCCCACAATTCTTCTGGTTTTTGGTCATTGGTGTTCAATGCATCAAATCTGTTCTAAATTCTATCTCTAAATTCAGGAAAGATATATTCAAGGTCATATTTTGGCTCTTGTGGCCTTGTTTTAATTGTCTTCAACTTCAAGTTGAACTTGCCTATGAGCAGTTGATGGTCTGTTCCACAATCAGCTCCTAGCCTGGTTTTGGGCGAAGATATTGAGCTTTTCCACTGCCTCTTGCCACAGATGTAGTCAATCTGATTTCTGTGTACTCCTGTCTGGTGAAGTCCATGTGTATAGCCACTGTTTGTGTTGTTGAAAAAAGGTATTTGCAGTGAATATCGTTGGTCTTGCAAAATTCTATCATGCAAATCTCCAGCATTATAGGAAGTAGATTGCCCAAACTTCCTTCTGAGGAGTGGCTGGTGGGTATGAACCATCAGCCTTCTGGTTAGCAGTCAAATGCCTTGGGCACTATGCCACTAGAGCTCGCAAGTAGGCTGAGTACAAGGAGGTTTATAAAGAGAAGAGGAGGGAGAAGAATAGAAGATCAACCATTGGCTAATGTTAACATGATGGATTGAATCCTGCCCTCCCTCTTTTTCACTGAGATCAACTGATATCCGGTCACAAGATGGTCTCTGGCCCTCCACCCAACTGCCGCCCTGCTATCTTTTGAAATTTAAATTAAGTAAGCTTGGCTTTGAGCCGGAAAGAAAAGGTTAGCAACTTTGGGTGAAAAAGACTGCTGGCAGGATTAATTTTTGGCCAGGACTTTTTTTCACGGTTAATATTTGGTTTCGTGGGTAAGAAAATCAAAGTAAGATGTCTTACTAATTTTACTAATTTTTCTCTTCAACGGTGTGCTTGTGTGAAAGAACTAAGGCTGGGGGACTAGAGAAACTGAGACAAGAGTGCAGGCCCTGTTTATTAAAACTCTACCAACTTTGTTCCCTTGGTTTCCTGAACCCCTGGTGAAGTCCAGGAAACCCTCTCCCCTTTGCAACGGGGTGAGAGCACGCTCAGTATGTCGACCCCACCCTCGACAAAGCGCAGAGCCTCTCTGCTCACGTTGCTCTGCTGGTCTCTGTTTGGAGCCTGAATCCTTCCAGTCACAGAGAAGGGGGCTGCTGCCTCTGTTGGCTTTGCCCAGTCCAGGTCCCCTGACCTGTTTACTAGTGGACAGATCCCACCCAGTCAGGTGTGTTCTAAGCCACTCCAGGCCAATGCCAGCAGACTTGGCCACTGCGTGTGGCCAGCCGCTGGAAGTACAATAATTCGGTTAATCCTTGTGGTCTCAGGAAGGAAGCACTACTATTAGCAGCATTTCACACATGTGGAAAAAAGTCCTGAGAGGTGCTCAACCTCCACGAGGCTGCCCCCACCCTCTTACCTCCACACCAGAGTCTGGATGCTGCTCTGCGCTGAGCGATACTGCCCCCGGTGGGCAGGAGCGGGGTGGGCTGCTTGGAGTTCTCTGGGCCCTGCAAGCAAGGGTCCCTAGGTGGGGTCTGATTTCCTGCTACGCAGCTGAGAGGAGATTCTGCCACCCGCCTCCCTACCCCTCTTGCCTGCCGAGGGCTGGGGCATCACGTGCAGGCTCTTCCGGGAAGCCCAGTGGACACTCACTCTACCTTTGAAACAACTGGGGACGCTTAGAGAAGTAAGGATGACAGTGCCGGACCTTCAGAGATTCTGACCCAGTTTGCCTACGTGGAGGCCAGGTAGGGATCTTTTTTTTTCTTTTTTCTTCAAGGTTCTTAGGTGATTCTAATACAGAGCCCAGCATAAGATCCAAAGTGAGCCCGGGGGAATGAAGGCTGGACATCTGGTGTGAATCCTGTCCCACCACTTACCATACAATGCCATGGGCTGTGTCACTCAGCTTCTCTGAACCTCAGCGTCTCCCATCTAAGTACTACTGGGGATGATTTCAGCCTCCAGTAACATGATGGTAGGACGAATGGTTATCATGAGGCCATTGGTGGGATCAGCCCTT